CTTCTTATTTAAAATCTATTTTACTTTGAGACTTGCAATTTATAACTAAAATATAATAAGTTTGTTAAAAAAAAACATCTCACAACACTATTGAAAAATAATGCAAAACAACCTTTAAACTAAAAGGATAAAAAAATTGTGCTAGGTTATTTTGGTTAAAATTAATATATTGCTATACATGACACTGTGAACAATTTTGAACCATTAACAAGTATATAATATAATTTCAAATATAAAGAAAAATTATCATAATTTGTACCCTCAAAAGTTATCCTTTTATTAAATGTTTCAATTTAACCAAAAATAAATATAATATAGTTTTTAATTATGCAATATTCTTATATAAAAGATTAACCCTAATTCTATTTAACTACTATTTACTTGAATAAAGTGCTATTAATATTTAGTTACTTTTTTGCATATTAAAACACATGAAAAGCTAGCCTTTTATTTATATCCATATAGGATATAATAATAAAATATTTTCCCCATATTTATGTGGGTAAAAAATTTATATATACTTGATTTTCCCCTTTCGACTTAAAAATAATATATGTACTTGTTTTCTTATTACCAGAGGGACCATTTGATACATTTTTGTAGGTAAAAAACGTTAGAAATAGGTTCATATTCATATCTACCGCAAATATGCTACATCTCGGAATATAATTAATTTTAAAAAGGTTGATAAATAAATATCGTCAATACAGCGATCCGCCAAATGCATTATTGCGTATGTTGGATTCCGCGAAAAAATGTTACAGCGAATGCATCACCGCGAAAAAAGTATCGGCATCAACGAGAAAATATTAACGCGAATGCATTATGGCGAATGAATTGGCGTTAAAGCATTAGAGCGGAATTATTAACGCAATTATTCCCGTCGAATACATTTTTTTATCTTAACTTTATAAAATTTTATAAATTAATTACATTTCCATTAGTATTTAGAATATGTTTAATTAAACCTAGATTAGATATGTTTCAAAAGACTTTAATCCGTTTATAGTTATCTTAAAATTTAATATGTTTCAAAAAAGACATACCCTATATAACTAAATAAGTTTATAAAATTAATTACATTACCATCAGTATTAAAATACGTTAAATTAAACCTAGATTAGATATGTTTAAAGATTTTAATCAGTTAGAAATAAACATACGCTATGTACAAAACTACAAAGTAGTTATGAGAAAACTTTCAAATACACTCAGGGCCGTAGCCACGGGGGGAAATATGTTAAAAATATTAAAATACATTAAAAATAAAGTATATTTAAGTTTTTTAGTGTATCCTAGGCCAACTAAATAAAATATTAAAGGCCAACTAAATAAAATATGTAATAAGTTAAAATATTAATATGTTAAAACATTAAAGAGAATAAATGCAATTAAAATAATACTTATCTTTAAAATTCTTGCATTTATGAGAACTTGTGTTAGTTTTATTAGCATTTTGACAAAAACTCATCTTGTTGATCATTTGCATTGGTTAGGAGTCTCGTCTTGTTGATCATTTGCATTTTTCCGACACTTGTTGAGAAAATATCAATAAATCAATTTTGCGTGGTGAAAATTAATATTTCATTATCAATATTCGCAGACATTTTTAATGGCTTCGTATCATATAATGAATAAAGAATCATTATATATCACTAGCTAATAACCCGTCAAGAATGACGGGGAATTAGAATTTTCTCCTTTATAACTATTTTTATATCTTTAAAAACTCAATCTATGAAAGGATGATAGATATTAGGGCTCCCAGGTTCTTAAATATAGTCGAGACATCCCGGTGCTTGAGACATTTTCTTTATTGTCAATAAAGGACACAAATATACACCTTGCTCACATTTAAAAGATAAAAGAAAATTTTACCCAATAATTAAGATTTATTACATGGAAACAATGTCTCTTATTGGAACCCCAAATATTACATTATCCACCAGAGCTCCTGTTAGTCAGCATTTCTGTTCACTCCCCACCGCGTGAAGGTAGGAGATGGATTTTAGGGGAGCAAAGAAATGAATAAAAGAATGAAAAAAGAAGGAAGAAATAGAAAAAAAGAGACAAAGATATGAATTATAAGAAAATATAATAATTGTGTATACCTTAAGACTTAACGATTATGGGGTTCCAACACATATACATTTGTAACCATATAAAAAAATATAATCTAGTAAAATTTATTGATAATGATGATGGTATCGTGTCTATGATGTTTTTGGTGGATGTAGTGTCGTTTTTTTGATTTCATTTCCTTGCTCGTAACTTGCCGTAAATAACTGGAAATAAAACGTGTAAATTGGAAGTATAAAATAAAATTTACTGATGATGATGATGATGGTATCGTGTCTATGATGTGGATGTAGTGTCGTTTTTTTGATTTCATTTCCTTGCTCGTAACTTGCCGTAAATAACTGGAAATAAAACGTGTAAATTGGAAGTATAAAATAAAATTTACTGATGATGATGATGATGGTATCGTGTCTATGATGTTTTTGGTGGATGTAGTGTCGTTTTTTTGATTTCATTTCCTTGCTCGTAACTTGCCGTAAATAACTGGAAATAAAACGTGTAAATTGGAAGTATAAAATAAAATTTACTGATGATGATGATGATGGTATCGTGTCTATGATGTTTTTGGTGGATGTAGTGTCGATAATATATTTTATTAACCCATTCAAATAAATAAACCAATAAAATTCTAAGACAGACAACAATATTCAATATTTTAAGGGTTACAAAACTAATACCAATACAAACCAAAATATAAAACTAATACCACTTAAGCCAATCTCAATAACTGATAAATTCATCTAAAAGTAAGGATATATACATGTTTAAAAGCAATGTCAATATTATTTACAATTATACGTCAATACTATTTTTTAATTGTAATAATAATAAAAGTATAAAATAAAATTTACTGATGATGTGGTGTCGTTTTTTCGATGTTTTCCTTGCTCGTAACTTGCCGTAAATAACTGGAAATAAGATGTGTAAATTGAAAGTATAAAATATGTTAAATAATATTAACTTTAAAAAATTATTTTTTTTTTTATCCTTAAGTCATTTATGGTGTAACTTAAATATTTCAAATGTAATAAAAATTGTTTCTTTCTTTTTGTTAAAAACAACTTTTTTTTATTTTAAATCAATTTGTTTATAAACTAATATTAAATTTTATATTTTATAAATCACTTAACAAACTAATGTTCAATTTTTTATTTTTAACTTTTTAAAAAAAGATCAATTTATGATAAATTACATTGTCAATATATATAGCAAACTATTTTTGAATATGTGATCATTATATTTTTTTAATTTAAATATCAATAAATTCACGTAATATACGTCTAAAACTTTTATTTTCTGCCTTGATCCCTGCTAACCTTTTTAAAATAAAATTTACTGATGATGATGGTTGATGGTTTTGCTCGATGTGGTGTCTGTTAAAAAATATAATTATTTACTGATGATGATTGAAGGTTTTGCTCGATGTGGTGTTTGTTAAAAAAAATATCAATTTTTGTAATTATTATATTATTATATGTTTTGTAATTGTTTTTTGTATTGAAATTCTTTTTTTGAAAATGGCGGTTCAATTTGGTTTATGAATACGTGTTTGATATGTTTAAGCTATGATGATTTTTATTGAATATATATATTATAGATTTGAATTCCTTAGCTCTTGTAGGATTATCTGCAAACATTTTTTTCATACTAATGTTCCTTCCTGCCTATTGCCTCAAAATACTTCTGAAATGCTTTCCATGATTTATAGGAGATTAAATCCATTTTGCTAATATGATCTAAATTGGCTTAAAATTGCTATGATAGATAGATAGATAAATTATAGATATATAGAAAGAACAATATATTTGACATCAATTAAGACAATATATTTACATTTCAACCTAGAAATATAATGCTATTTAAAATAAAATATAATATTATAGATGGCGCTAAATATCATGGAGATTAAAACTACAATTTAACATAACTTAAATACTTCCGAATTTGTTAATATTAATTAAATATTATTAAGAATCACTCCCTATTTAAGTAGGACAAACGTCAAATAATTAATAAAGAAGTTGAATATTACATAGTATATTAACAAAATTATAATTGACTATTATCAGGTAAAATAATTGACTATATAATGTCACAGTTGTGACAAGCCTTTTATTATATAAGAAGATATCCCTCTGATTTTAAATCAGTATTAAAGGATTAATTAAATTTATCATAGGGAAATATTTCATCAATTTTTAATAGAAGAAGATTCATTAGCAAAGGTTAAGTTTAAATAAATGAATAAATTTAAAAGGAAAAAAAATTAACTCGTTGGTTAAATGAATGTCAATCATAAAATAATAGATCTTTAATTTTATAAAAAAATGTCAAGAATTTGTGGCGTTTATTATGATGCACAAAATAAAATATTATTTACAAATCTTTTAAATATTTTTTTCTTATTTGTTAGTTTTTTTTAAATCTAAGATTTAAATTTCGTGCGTATTTGATATTTTTATTTATAATTATGTTATATAACACAGTTGTTATATTTTTTTTATTCAAAATGATTTCAAAGAAAACTCCCCCCTAAACAAATTTTAATGATGGAATAAAATATTGTTCAATAATATTTTTATAGTTTTATAATTATTTTTTTTTAAAAATTCAAATACTTGGCAGGGGCTGTCACGTAGTCTTAATTATTATTTGTAAAAGAAGGTCAATTATTTTATGGTTGACATCTCATATATAAAATGAGATTTGTAAAAAAAATGTAGCCTAATGTTTTTTATTTTTTTAAATCACATTTAAATAAATTAAAACAGTTTTTTAACAACAAAAAATGTGATGCATATAAATAATCGCTAAGATAAAAAAAAATGGCGTCCAAGATAGAGATATTCACGGTATTATATAGGGTAGTATAAAATTACAGCTAGTTTTTTTAAAAATAGATAATAAAACCTTCTTAAAAGATGGAGGAATCATTTGTTGAACATCAAAAGTATATTGGTCTTAATGGGTCAAGATAAAGAACCGGTATTAATAAACTAATATCATTGTTCCTAGAATAATAAAACTAAAAAAATAAATTCCCCATTCGAATCATCGAAAATGATTTTATTTTCCTGAACATAGTTGGGCAATTACAATATTTTGAGCTATTTAAGCCAATTTTTAGCCGAAGGTTTATCACTTTGACCTCAGGGGTTTTCTTATAAATATAACAGTTCAAATTTGAAAGAAACTATTATAAATTTAAACTTATTAATGTTCACATATTTTCTCCGGCAAAGAACATTAAAGAGTTTATCGTAAGATATGCTGCCTTAATCTAGCTCTCTGAGAAAAGACGTTAACAGTGCTTTTGATATATTGTTTTTGTTTATTCAATTAAATTATAAATAAATAAGAATTATAATTTACCAAGATTTTATAGCCATTAGACAGGGTCAAGCGACTCATATCGAAACTATGTAATCTTTGTCTCCTCATAGTTTTTATCCCCAATAAAAGCATTAAAATTTATTTAGACCTCTATTTCATGAGTGTCCCAACTATCACATATATGTAATCGAATTTTCTTAAAAAATATAATATTTATAAAAAATATAATCCTGTTAGGTATAGTATTATTTAGCGTTATCATTATACTATTAAGTTGTCCATGGATTTAGTCTAATTAATAAATGAAGCTTAAAACTTTGGTGAATAAACATCCAGATAATAATTTTTAAAATATATGATAAAATTAGATGTTAATATATTTATTGTAATTTTTAATTTATAATATAATTCTTATATATCTTATGGCCAGAGACTGGGTCAGAAAATCAACTATCACATAAACTCATCTAGTTTTGTTTCATATTTTATTTTAAAGATTAACGATTGGATTACACATTCATGTTATAATTTAAATATTTCCTCGTTGAAGCTACTAGTTACGATAAAACCTACCTGCACATCTTACAATGAAATTTATACCTTATGTTTTTTTTATCGAGACTAAAATTTATGCTATATCAGGAATGAAATTACATATCATTGTACAGGGAAATAACTTTGTATATGTCGTAATTTTTAAAGGGATCAGAACTATCCGGGATCATCACGGGTTTTAAAGGGATAACTAAAAAAATTAGGGTTTTAAGTTAAGGAATGATAATACCGTATTATCACGTTTTACCGTGATAAAGAGGAATCTTATTTTAAAAAGCGTTTTACGTGCGTTTCGTTTTATTTCTTTTTAATTTTAGTGTGATTATTAATTTCCAATGTTCTTTTATTGGTCTTATGAAATAAGTTATGTCTAACATAGGGTATCAATCGATAGCGAATCAATAGATCTATTCAACTAGAGGTCAATCTCTCCCGAGGATACAAAACTTCATAAATAGCAAATGACGTGTTTTAGAGTTACAAAAATTTAAAAACGCTACGTTAAATAAATATAGAAACGTCAATTATGCTGGTTTCTCGTTTTTTGAAAAAGGTCTCAACTTGCTAAATGAGTTACAATATAACTAGTGAGTTTAAAGAATTTCTTTAGAAAAATAGAGATCGGGAAAAATATTATCAGCTAGGAATTACAATAAGGTGACAAATTTATTGTTCCCAATATATTTAAAATATAAAAACATAATAAAGATGAAATATTTATTAAGAAGTAAGTGGATAAGTATGCATTAGCGATAATGCATTAGCGATAATGCATTAGCGATAATGCATTCGCGATATATGTTTTCGCGGTAATCGACATTCGCGATAATACATTTCGCGGTAAAATTTTCGCGGTATTGACGTGATACGAGTTTAAAGACATATGAAAATAATTAAATTCATATCGTAAAAAATGATACATATAAACAATATCATAACAGGCAGGTCCGTGAAGTTGGCCCCCCAATTATGGATTTTTAATGGTTTATCAGTTGGACTGATTTGTACGGTTTTCAGTTCGATTTATACCATCACTATGACCAGGCCCGGCCGGGATTTAAAAATTTTAGGCCTGGTCCGGCCCGTATATATTAAAAAAATATTTTTTTTAGGTCCGGCACGGCCCGGGTATATTTAAAAAAAATTAAAGGGCTTACTTGAAATTTTTTGAATTAATATGCTTATAAATAATAGAAAATAATATGTAAAAAAATTAATTAATTAATATAAAATAGATTAATAAACAAATATTTTATTTTAATTATGGAAAGCAATAAAACTTTTTAAAGATGGTGCGGGGGGGGGCGTATAATTATTTTCCTTTTCTTTAAGAATAATAGGGGAGACCGGGGTGGGGTATTCTTAGGACAGGGGAACGTTAGGACATTCCAATATTTATATCCCTTCCATATTCACTGTTTAACAAATTTTACTGAGTAAATATCTTGAGAGTGCTATTTTTAAAGATTGAAATAATTTGTTCCAAATACACTATGCATTATGGAAAATGGACTCTGGCGAAATTATATATATATTTCATTAAATTATTTTTTCAGAAATTCATATTATTAGTTGAATTAAAATTGGAAGAAGAAGTTGGCCTATCCCATTCCTATATCTTTTTAACCTTAAATCCTACTCCTTAACCTTATTTCAGTATTATTAAAATTTTTTAACAACATTTCAGTCAATAGAAAAATTTCCTTCCGTAAACTATTCCCGTTCCCTTTCCAATCTCAACACTCCTCTATCGTAAATCATTATTTATCGAAAATGAACGTATATATAAAAACAAAACATAATTATGATATATGAACCAAGAGGAAAAAATATTTTTTTTTAAATATGATAAAAAACCTGATTTTGATCAAAAAAAATAAAAATTGTAAATGTACACATGTTTTACGATTGTATTATTAGAGCTTCTCGTTTTGCATTCTTTTGTGTAATTGACCGGTCAAATACGATTCGGTCGACCGATTTCTGACCGGTCAAATATGGTCAAATTCAAAAAAAAATTTAAGAATTTTATATTTTTTTAATTTGTGCATAATTTATTTAAATTTATATTTTTTTATATAATATTTAGTGTTGTTAAAAAATCGAGTTCACCCGACTCCGACTCAGAGTCTGAAGTCTTTAGTCGTGAACTCGAGTCGTGAACTTGAGTCGTGAACTCAAGTCGACTCGAGTCGTGAACTCAAGTAGTAAACTCAAGTCGACTAGAGGACGAATATTTTTATTAACTTGAGTTTTCGACTAGAGGACGAATATTTTTATAAACTTGAGTCGTCGACTAGAGGACGAATATTTTTATAAACTTAAACCATATTCATGAGATAAAAAATGTTTGTAAAACTTTATTAATTAATAAAGAATAAAAAGTATAAGTTGAATTTACATATTATATTTTGACTTCAGAAGACTCAAGTTTTTAAAAATATTCGTCCTCTAGTCGACGACTCAAGTTTATAAAAATATTCGTCCTCTAGTCGACTCAAGTATATAGACTTGAGTACACGACTTGAGTCGACTTAGGTTCACGACTTGAGTCGACTTGAGTTCACGACTTGAGTGGACTTGAGTTCACGACTTGAGTGGACTTGAGTTCACGACTCGAGTCGAATTGAGTTCACGACTTGAGTCGACTTGAGTTCACGATTCGAGTTCATAACTCAAGTCAGTTTGGGTCTATTTTTTCGACCCAAAACTTGACTCAGTTTTCGACTAAGTCGACTCGACTCAGTCGATTAACAACACTATTAATATTACTTATAGTTTATGGTATTTTATTTTATCAATTCCAGTTAATCTTCCAAAAATAAAATTTAGTCACATTTTATTCATTCGTTCATCCTAAAATATCTTTAAATACAGTAAATATTTTTTTTTAAATAATAATTTGCATTTTTGGTTATTAATTGGCTTTTTTTAGAAAAACAAAAAAAAATTAAAATATAATTATAATTTAAAAAAAAAAAATCTTCTAAAATTTCCATTTTTAAATCTTCTAAAATTTCCATTTTTATGTTTTTTTCGTAGCTTTTAATCTTTTTTTGGATAAATATTAAATTCTCATCTTCCTATCCTAATTTAAACTAAACATTGTTCTTTCTGTGTACCCTTATTCTCACGTGATTATCATGACATTTTATGACATATCTCCTTAATTCAAGGAGATATTCGGTAATCAAACTTTCGAGGATTTCGTTGATTTCGAAAGAAAATTCGCCGCATTTCAAGAGCAAACCGGCGCCATATTTAGGATCAAAAGTAGTATGAGGGTGGGGGCGCCGAAAATAAAAAGCGGTCATAATTGACGAAAAGTTTAAATACGGAGGTGTCACTTACATTTGCGTGAGGGAATGAATCAATAAATCCCCCAAATTTTACGCATATAGTTCTGCCAAAGCTTTTCTATCGCACTTATATGTTATAATTTAATTTTTTTTTAACTGCATAACAAAATAAAAATTTGTCAATTTTTATGTTTAAATACACAATTTTATTTTTAGGGGAGTATCATGCAATTGCAAAATAAACATATCTCTAAGCTATATACCCGCCATTCAAAAGTTGTACGTAACTAGCACTAATCCCAAACACAACCATCCTATACCTATCAAAAATCCAAAAGATAGCGTAATCCAAGAACCTCACAAATCACCTTCACCCTTGGACGATCACCATTCCGAAATCGAAGGTAATTCTAATCCCAATTATTATTTTTTATTGATTTCCAAAAAAAAAATACAAATAATCCCTCCTTTTGTTCCATAAAAATTTATTATTATAAATTAATAAGCTTATTTTTTTGATAGATTTGATTATTTTTCTAAAATGATATTTTTATCATATTTATAAAAAAAATACAATAAAAGCGATGATATTAAAAATTCAAGCCTCTCTTTGAGTATTCTTTCTTTTTTTTTTGGTTTAATAAAATCTCTATTTTAGAACTACCTTGATATTTAATTTTTTTTATAACAAAAAGAACAATTATTTATAGAATATTACATAAAATATAAATAAATAAATTCGACTACTTCTTACTATTTTACTAAACTAAAAACTAATATGCCACAAACAAAACACAATTAAAAAAATTATTACTATTTTCTTACTTATAGTAACTAGGATAAGAATTTAAAAAAAATAAAGCACTGTTAACGTCTTTTCTCAGAGAGCTAGATTAAGGCAGCATATCTTACGATAAACTCTTTAATGTTCAGGGCTATAGTTGGGTAATGGTTAAATGTCGGATACTTGCCGGAGAAAATATGTGAACATTAATAAGTTTAAATTTATAATAGTTTCTTTCAAATTTGAACTGTCGCATAAAACTTTTTTTTTCAAAACAGCAGTTAACTTATCTTTATAAATCTGTGTCATTTTTTTTTAGCTCTTTACTCTATACTCTTATTATAATACTAATAAAAAAGTATCACTCGACTTCTCAAAAAAAGTTTATATGTTAAAATGTAGAAGAAAAAACCCCATTCGAATTAATGTATAACTGCCTAAATCTAGTTTTGAATTAAACGCCAGGCTGTCAAAACATCAATAAATTAAATTCACAAACTAAAAAAACCTTCAAAATAAATAAGCTTTTTTCATTTTATTGTATTTTTGTTCTATTTAATATTAATGAAAATGTACCGTCATTCACCTAACAAGAATTTTTCTGAAAATACACATTTAATTTTAATTACCCATATATCATAGGAAGAGAAAATAAGAAAAACTTTTATTTTGCAAGCTCTACATATTGATTAATAAATCATATCTCCGATTTTTCATCTTTTTTTTTAAATTTCAATCTTATTGCAATAACAAAAATCAATAAATATAATTAATAAATATATTGCTTATCGTTGTCAACACCAATCTGAGAATTTTAGCCGCCAAGTACAAAAAATAATTTGAATTTATATAATTTTTATAATTTAAATTTAAACGTATCCTATACAAGATCAAAAGAAGTCTGTACTGCCCGACCCATTGTTTGCTATAAATATCTCATTGAATTTCGTAAGTTTTTTATTTTGCTTTAAAATATTTTACAATGGAACTTAGTAATGCCTAGATCGTAATAATTTTTTAACGGTCCATTGACTTGCTTGCCGATGGCTTTTATATAAAATCTCCCTATGTCCATTTGTGTAAAAAATGCTTTTGGCACACCACCAGCCCGATGTTTAATAATTATTAGATTCTTATTTCAGAGATCTACTAACCCGAAAAAGACCGGGGCCTTACGGTTCGGGCTATTTGGGTCTTAATTTTTTTTAAATATTAATTTTCCTTCGTGAAATAAATTGACATTTTTTAAAAATCTTGCAAGAAAAAGGCGTCAATAACTTTTTTATAGTATATTTTTTTTTCTTAGTAAAAAAAAATTTGCTTCGGGCGGGATATATATGAAAAAATTTGTTCGTGATCGGGCCGGTTTTCTGACATTACGGCTATTTTACTTGGTTTATACGTATTGCCATTTTCGCGTATTTTTTGATCCGATTTAGAATACATTCTTGGAATGCTTTTTTGCATATTTTTGCCTCGTATAAAAGGTGTTTTCGCAAATTTTAAATCTTAAATAATTTAGACATATTTTGTTTTCATTTTTTAAAACATAGTTTAATCCTGATTTTCTGTTATATCGGAACGATTGTAATACCTATCCTAACAATATATGGGGAAAAAAAATATTATCTAAAAATACGTTACGATATATTTCAAGTTAAGCATAATATCATTAAATTCTAATGATGGTTAAATCTTTAAACTATTAACTAGAACTTCCTCTTAAAATTTGCAAGAACCTAAATCTGTTCTATCTTAAGTATAAACAAACTAATTTATGTTATCTAATATTTAATTTTCAAAGGATTGATAGGATACATTTTACAGGATTTGAGTGTTAAATTTTTCGATTTATTAAGATGTCTTTTATAGGGTTGTAAAAAAATCAATAAGAAATAAATATATTTGATAAATCCAAAATGTGTTTTTTTTTGAAAACTTGGATCAAAAATAGGTTTTATGTTTTTTCAAATATTTTTGAAAAAGTGAAAAACATACTTATTAATAAATAGATCGTGTTAAATTACTACCTATGCCTTAATGTCCAAAATTTTATATTTTATTACTGAAATAAACCTTATATAAGAGCATAATAAAAATTGTATCTATATATAGGATCAATAATTTATCATTTACAGGTGAGCTTGGTGTGACATTTTGAATTAAACCTTTAAAAATTTTAAGGAGTTACAATTATATATTTAATTCTGGAATAATTTATTATTACTGATTTCATCAGGATATTCTAATGAGTTTTCTCTTGATGTTAACCTCAGAAAAGTATGAACCAAACCTTTATAGAATTATGAGGTAAATATATTTAAATATAAAATAATTATTTTTTATTTGGAGGCTGGTGGCGATGCGGAGATTTAAATTAAAATTATAAAGCCCTTAAGAATTTTTTTTTTATATATAAATTTCGATATATTATTTTTTATATTAAGCCTTCTTAAATATTATAGATTTTCACTCATTTCTTCATGATGTTTATATCTTAATTTTTAAGCTGTTTAGACGAAGCTATTTTAGCTATCCAAACATTCAGCTCTTTACCAATACTATTAAATTCACATAAAGTAGATAGTATATATATAGAATAAGTCTCTTCACTAAATTTTAAACAATTAGGTCTAAAAATGAAAGAGTTAAGGACATTATCCTTTTTACCTATCATGCCGTAAAGTCGCGATCTCCCTTATCAAACTATATTTATGATTTAATAACATTATAAATTAGTTATATAAAATTCACATGTAAATTATTTTTACATAAAAATTATTAATTTAACTAATATGGGTTAACATAACTTATAAATATTATATTATATATTCAAAACAGGAAATTGATTTGCCAAGAATGTAAAAATCCCTTAGATCCTGAGGGAAAAATTCATGATACAATATTATGTAAAATATGTGATTTAAGAATCCACAAAGGCTGTCTAAAAGCACCCTTGGCATATTGTATGATTTGGGCCTCTTTAAAAGCTCCTTTTTTTTGTAAAAATTGTTACAAATAAACAGATTCACTAGCCAGGTTAAAATCCTCACCGGATAAAAAAACAGCAACTAATGAGCTTAGATTTATTATTATTTATAATTTAAAACCTCACCCTAGAGCTATAAATATTAATACATGTGAAGAAGATAAAATAGCTATAAATTTTTTAAAATATTATCAAAGAGATAATATTTTAGAAAAATATAGACCCCTTAGGGTATTGGGTGACGGGAATTGCTTTTATCGAGCAATATCTCTGGCTATATATAGGGATTCTGATTTATATATATTTGTTCGAGTTAAGGCAGCTCTAGAAGTGATACAGAACTAAGAATATTATAGTTTCAATAGTCCCAATTATATCTTAAAAAATGATTTATTAAATTTTGAAACTTCATATGAACAAATATTAAACTCTATTATAAACATCGATGTTTGGGCTGGATTGCCAGAAATTTAAGCAACTAGTGCTGGTTTAATGGAACCATTTAGGTCGGAAAGTATATTTCCAAATAACCCTTATAACAGGGATATACGTGGTAGGGGTGTGTCGATTGACCAGCCCATTAATCGTGCCATCCTTTGGACGACGACTAATCCCCTTATTATAAAGCATATCGTTATTAATCATTTTGCCTTTTTATATTAAAAAGAAGATAATATAGATATTGATATGAATATAGATAGATCAGATAGCTGTAATAAGGTCTTACCTATAGATAAAAACGTAATAACGTCAAAATTGATAAATATCAATACCGAGATTAAAAAATCTTCCTCACCAAAAAAAAATAAAATTCAAGAAATATTAAAAAAGCCGTTTGAAGATTTTTTGGATATTTCAATTGACGATCTTGCTCATTGTGCGATGCCTTTTAAATCTAGATATACAGATATCCCTAAGATAAATATTGCGTTAATGACCAAAAATTATAAATCGAATATTTTAGGTTCTGATAATAATTTAACACAGATCACTGGAGACGATATATCCGTTGTTTCGAGTAAAGATGATTACTCAGAAATTTCATCAAATAGTTTATCACAATATACTAAAGATGATATGTCAGATATATCTAGTGATGAATTTAAAGATATCGATGATAATTTAGCCTTATGTAGGTGTTTTTAAAGAAAAATGAGTATTTTTTTAGAATACCCGTGTGCCGCAATTCGTAGTTTAGTCATTATAATTTAACATTAAATATGGCAATTCGCAGTTTAGTCATTTTAATTTAGCATCATATACACCTTAGAAAATTTAATTTAACATTAATTACGGCAATTCGTAGTTTAGTCATTTTAATTTAACATTATATACGGCAATTCGCAGTTTAGTCATTAATTTAACATCATATACTGTTTAGAAAATTTAATTTAACAATAATTACGGCAATTCGTAGTTTAGTCATTTTAATTTAACATTAAATACGGCAATTCGTAGTTTACTTAATTTAATTTAACATTATAAACCGCAATTCGTAGTTTAGTCATTTTAATTTAACATAATATATTGTTTAGAAAATTTAATTTAACATTAATTACGGCAATTCGTAGTTTAGTCATTTTAATTTAACATTATATAACGGCAATTCGCAGTTTAGTCATTTTAATTTAACATAAAATACGGCAATTCGTAGTTTAGTCACTTTATTTTAATATTAAATACGGCAATTCGTAGTTTAGTCTCTTTATTTTAAGATTAGATACGGCAATTCGTAGTTTAGTCACTTATTTTAAGATTAGATACGGCAATTCGTAGTTTAGTCATTTTATTTTAACATTAAATACGGCAATTCGCAGTTTAGTCATTTTAATTTAACATAAAATACGGCAAGTTTATTCTATTTAATTTAACATAAAATACGGCAATTCGTAGTTTATTCATATTTAATATAACATTATATACGGCAATTCGTAGTTTAGTCATCCAATCTTCCATAATTTTATCTAAATTTAACAATAATTTACGCAATTCGTAGTTTAGACATGGCAATTCGCAATTTACCTGGCAATTCGTAGTTTATAGCAATTCTTATTTTAGTCATGGCCTATTATTTCTAATATAAAAAACATCTCTTGTCAAATTTCAATGGCTTCGTATAATAAAAAAAAAGATAAGTTAAGAGCTCAATCAGGGGTGTCGCTATCCTTTACAATCTCAGGGGACTCAACTAAAAAAAAATTGTGGGGGCTTCGTCCCCCCCCCATACCCCCAATTTGCGGGCCTTAGGCCGGGTTTTATATTATTATATTATACTTTTTTTTTAATTTGTTAACTCTTCAATTATTCTGAATTTTAATTTTCTAATTATTATGCATACAAATTAAACATATAAATAATTAAAACAATACAAGACATTTCTAAAAATAAAATTGTTTATTACAAAATCTATTTATTACAGTATAAAATATTTTCGATTGCTGATATAAAAAAAGTTGCATCTAATTAGAAGTGATAAAAGATTAATTAATTCATACATATGCCTTATTCTTAGCAACTTACATTGACAAAAGGTTAACAAACTAATATTACTCTCTGTTACCATTTTACACATTTATAAAATGGACTAATAAGGAAATCAACAATTCTTGAAGAAGAGAGTATAAAGGACCAATCCTAATCATAAAACTAGTAAGTGGTTAGAGCTTCCTTTTAGATAACATGATGATCGAGAAAATTATTGTGAGATATTAAATTTCTAAAAGATTATCATCCATTTTAAATGATATATAAACGACTACACAGTTGACCATTATTGTTTATCTAAAATATGCAATCATATGCTCTCAGCCGTTGTAGTAATAATCTTAAATTACATAGCAACACAAATAATAGATGCTGGCTAATTTGCAGTAATAGCCATGGCCAGGGTTGTCAGGTCAAAATTTTTAAATTGTGGGAGAAATTTGGTATAATGCGAGAGAAATATGAAAATTGCGGTAGAAATATAAAAATTGCTAAAAAAATTTTTTGCGGGCCTGAATTTACTTAATTATCCACCTATTGTTTTTATAAATAGTTTATATAAATACAAAGTCGGTAATTATTTTTAAAAATAAAATACGTCTTGATTTATTAGAATATATTAATTTATAAAAAAAAACCAACGATTTTTTTAAATATAAAAGAATGTAAACAAGATAAAATTTTATTAAAAAAAACGATTTTAATTTTACAATTAAAAATATATTTTATGTGAATATCCCGCAAAACGACCGCAATTGGGTATAACATTATAGGGATAGGCGCTTAATTATCACGTATCATGTTTAAATACATAATAAGGTACTCCATAAATAAGAAATAATACAAATGTAACTACAGTTGCGTCAATTTTAATCACTTATCATGTAGTGCAACATTCACAGAGATACTTATTATCACATTGTTGGTAGAATCTTTTTCCCATAATATTTAACTAATATAAATGAAAACTATACTTGTAGAACAAAAATGAGCAAGACTATCATCAATGTTTTAGGACCTAAATCCAGGTGGTCAATTCTTGACGATTTGAAAGATGGGCATACATATGCAATTCTAACAGATGCATCTAATAAGGGAAATATTAAAATATTTCTCTTGATATTTCAACAAAATCAAGGTCGTTTCAATAAAACTATTAAATTTTTTCCCCTCAAATAGTGAAAAATCCAAAGACATGGCTATCCATATAATGATAAATATAGCAGATTTGAGATTATCAATAAATTGCATGTCAGCCTTTCCTGATAATGCCTCAGTGAATTTGGTAAAAATAGATATTTACAGAATTGAGTCAGCACAATGTTGGTTGCGATATGTTCCTAATACCCGCCATCGATAGAATTTCAAAAGTTTTATAAACCTTTAAAAATATATTTCTTAAATAAAGATTACAAAAGCTATCATAACATTTTTGAAAATATTTTTCAATAATGAATGGCAGAGGTATATTTAGGAATGATTTTACATGTAGGAAATCTACTACATGCTGTTAATGTGATAGGTATATATTGCAACAACTCACATCATTACCACTTCACCAACTCTTTTAATTCATTACTCTTTTAGTTGACTAACTAAATTCGTTAAAACATATCATCACAATTATTTCAACATCCACAGATAATACATTCATTGCCTTCTTGCAAGAATTATGTAGTATATGGCATATACAGCCAATTAGTATTAATTCATTATTGTGCTGCCTCAATTCAGTAACTTTAGTTTTTGCCAAAATTTACAGAGGCATTATCAGCGCAGAAAGCTGACATGTAAATCATTGATAACCCTGAATCACCTATATTTACCATTATGTGGCTAGCTACATCGTTGGATTTTTTACTATCCGAGGAAAAAATTTTAAAAGTTTTATTGAAAATTTTAAAAGTTTTTAATGAAATGTTCTTATTCTTGTTGAAATAGCGAAGGATCGAGGGAAATGTTTTAATATTTCCTTTATTAGATGCATCTGTTAGAATCGCAGAATCGTGTATGGATGCCCATCTTTCAAATCATCTAAAATTGACCTCTAGGATTCAGGCATTATAACATTTGTGATAGCCTTGCTCATTTTTGTTATGCCACAAGTAAGGTTTGAACTTATATTGGAGTCGTTAAATATCATGAGAAAAAGATTCGACCCACATTGTGATGATATAGCTCTTCTGTGAATGTTAATACATGATAGATGTATACGATTTTCGCAAATGTAGTTGCATCTGTATTATTTATTATTGAGAGTATTTTGGTATTGCAATCGATGTTGATATACTCCCCTGACTTATATGAATGAAATGATGTTGATTTATTATTGGATAAAATTAAAACAGGATAGAAAGAAATTTACAAACTATACATGTTTTTCGAATAAATATTTAAAATTTACTATTAATATATAAAAATAATCAATTAATGTCTCTCAAAATCATTATTTATATATTAAAAACGTTAAAATACTTTTGAAAAAAATTGCGGGAGAAATTAAAAAATTGCGTTAGATTTTTGCGGGAGATTTCCAATTGCGGTAGTTTTGCAGGAGAGATATCTGCGTGTAAATTAAATTGCCGGAGTCTCCCACTAATGGGGGGAGACATGGCAACCCTGGCCATGGCACTCACGCACGATGTAAACTAGTATTAGAATTTATTAAGTGGGATAAATTAATAAAATAAAAACACTAAAAATCTTTGGAAGAAATAATTGTGCATATATATTGAAGCCTTTATTATTTACACGGCAAGGATGTCATATTAGAAATGAAACTTTGAACTATAAAATAAGGGCCAGAATGATATGATGAAACAATTAAGATTTTATATATTATCTCACCACCGCTAGTTGGTATATTATATCTTAAAATAATAGTAGTTTGTAAAAATATCAAAAATATACTTGAATTAAAAATTTAACTCAAAACTGTTTTTTGAAAAAGAAATAAATAGCTTTCCTAACGTAAAAAAGAAAAAAAATCAAATTTATTACATCTATTGTAGGATGAATAATAAAATGTTTAATTTTGAAAATTATTTATAACTTAATAGATGTCGTTAAATACATAAAAGCAAATTGTTATTATATTTATTATCAAAAGCATTTTATATTAAAATTCATTATAATATTAACTTAATATATTATAACTGTCAAATACGTCTATAAAAGTGGCATTTTATCTAATATTTTATAAATAACTGTATATAATAGAGGATTATTAACTATATGTCTACTTATTTACTTTTTATTATACTTATTTGAACCTTGAAAATATTTTTAGGAATAGGTATGATAATAAAATTTAAAAATAAATATACAGTTGATTAGTCAACTCTGCTAATTACAATATTAAATTTTTTAGTTTTCAATTAATAAATGATATATTTATTTAATTAGGGTTATAAAATAATTTAAATTTAAATAGTCAATTAAGCTTTTGCTCTTAATGCTAAATTAATATTTAAGGAGTATTGATATTATATTTGTAACGCAAAATTTGATTGCTAGCTGGCATAGTGAAAATTAATTTATATGTATTAATTAATTTAATCTAATATTTAAAATATTATTCATTTAATAAATATTTATAGTCATTAATTTTTAAATAATAAAATTAAATCATATTTTACTTAATAGAATTATA